CTGAGGGTGCACCTACGTCGGCTGCTACTCCACCGATGCCACCGCCTATTACTCCATCCGCGACGTCAGCTGCTGCTTCTACGACTACGCTGGCCCCTGGTTCACCAACTACACCGGCGCTGCGACATCAACCACTGTCGGACAGCACACGCATGTGTTCACCACACTATTGGAGGACGATGAAGACCGCCTCGACGCCACGCACTAGGACACTCCAATGCACTACCGCGCAATGAGTGACATCCTCGGCGATCAGCCACTGCCAGTGCCTACACAGCGCGAGCTCAACATCAAGCTCCACCTGACGCACGCCAGCGAGCCTGCCACCTATGTCGAAGCAGAAGGGGGCGCGACGTGACGCGCTGGATGCAGAAAGAGCTCAAGCCTGTTGAGCGGAACCAAACTTGGGAGGTCGTCGACCTTCCCGATGGACACCGCCCCATCACCCACAAATGGTTGTTCAATTTAAAGAAGGACGACTCAGGGGCAATGATCACGCACAAGGCTAGGCTGGTTGCGCGCGGTTTCGTCTAGCAAGAGGGGATCGACTACGACGACGCCTTCGCTCCTGTTGCATGCATGCAGGGGCGGATCCAGGATAAGCTCCTCGGGGGGGGCTAAATAATGAAGATTAAGGCTAGAGTTAAGAAAATAATGGTGATTTATATGCTAATGAACAGTATTTTACATGTGATTTAAGGCTCCCGAGGGGGGGCTGCAGCCCGGGCAGCGCCCCCCCCCCCTGATCCGCCACTGCGCGCATGGAGTCGGTCCGAGTCCTCCTTGCGCTTGCAGCTCAAGAAGGATGGCGTGTCCACCATATGGATGTCAAGTCCGCCTTCCCCAACGTCGACCTTAAGGAAGAAGTCTATGTGTGCCAGCCGCCAAGCTTCGCCATCGTCGTATAAGAATAGAAGGTGTACCACCTACGTCAGGCTCCACACACCTGGAACGTGAAGCTGGACGCCACGCTCAAGGAGATGGGATTCCAGCAGAGCGCACACGAGGCAACGGTGTACCGGCAAGGCGCAGCGGGCGCATTGTCCTGCTCGTCAGTGTATATATCGATGACCTCATTATCACTAGCATAGAGAAAATGGAGGTGGAGGCTTTCAAGGCACAGATGAAGACGGCGTTCGACATGAGCAACCTGGGCGTCCTCTATTTCTACCTTGGCATTGTGGTACGCCAGAACGCTAGCGACATCAGCCTCCGCCAGACGCACTACGGCAAGTGCATCCTCAAGCTAGGCGGGCTGGACGGCTACAATCCAGCCCACTCCCTAATGGAGAAGGGGCTCAAGCTGAGTCGTCAAAGCACGGCAGAGGAGGTCGATCCAATGCTCTACCGATGGATCATTGACAGCCTGTGCTACCTGGTGCACACCCGGTCGGACTTGACGTTCGTCGTCAGTTGCGTGAGCCGGTTCATGGAGCGGCCCACGGTGGAGCACTAGTAGGCTGTCAAGTGGATTCTGCGCTACGTGGCGGGCACCCTTGATTATGGTCTGCACTACGCAAGGGACCCCGACATGACACACTTCGTTGGCTATTGCGACAGCGGCATCGCCGATGACATTGACATAAGCAAGAGCATGAGTGGAACAATGTTCTTCCTCAGCAAGTGTCTTGTGAGCTGCAATAACTCAGGCAGTGAGTGGTGGCTATATCAATTTATGAAGCTGAGTACATCGCGCGCCACCTCTGCTGCAACTCAAGCTCTATGGCTATCAATGCTTTTGGGAGAGCTGCATGGCAAGGAAGTCAAAGCAGTGGAATCAAGGGTGGATAGCAAGTCTGCTCCAGCTCTGACCAAGAACCCAGTCTTCAATGAAGGCCGTTTGGAAAAGCTCCAGCTACTCACTCCCAACCAGCCAAATGCTCAAAATGTCAACTGATTCAAGTGGAGATCAGGAGAGAATCACTTCTCCATTTACACTAGGAGCTGGGAGCTAAAAAATCCGCTTCACCCTGCTCCCAGGTATATTCTGGTGGGGATCAGTAGAGAATCAATTCTAATCAGCTCCCCACCCTGCTCCCTCCTAGGAATTCAATGAAATCACTCCATCGTAGAATTAAGGAGCAGTGCTGAAAATCTGGGAGCGGAGCTCTCCCAAATGAAAGGAGCAAGCACATCAAGATAAGATATCACTTCATAAAGCTGTCTGGAAGATGGGAGTGTGAAGGCCAACCATATCAGCGCCTCACCAAGTCACTGGAAAGAACAGAGTCGTTCCAGGAGATGAGGGGAAGCACTGGGCTGATTCAGATCAACCCCAAGGCTGACCACAAGGCTTAGGGAGAATATTGAGAGTTAAGCCTAAGTGCTTCTCTACCTATCTATCTAGTTAAACTCTGATTTTGTTAAAGCGGTATCCATCTTCTATCTTAGCATCTAGAATATGCTTAACATCGACTTCGTAGTTGGAATATCCTATAGCAATTGAGATGCTAATAATAGTCATAATTATCTCGCAAACTAATATAACCAGCCAGCAATGCATGTTGAACCGACCTAGGAGATCTTAGCTTGTATCGCTTTTTATCTGCTTTGCTCCATATATATAACTCAAATAAAACAACAACTCAGCGAGCATCATACATCAACAAAATTGGAGCCCATCATTATTTTGTTTCCAGGTGGCTTCTTGAATTGGCAAAACTCCTCTTTGGATAAACTAGCTCCACAAAATATAATCTTTGTTGACGTAGTAGCCGTACCAGGTAAAAAAATCCCATCCTTCATGATGTTTTGCTTCACTTGAAAATAAAATGAGCCAAATTTGATAAAAGAAGTATCTTTCATATTATTACCCAATAAGTCAATTGGGGTTGAAATATTTAATACCTTGCACTTCTTTTAAAAAATAATAGATGGACTGACTTGAGGAGCCATGGGCTCAACACTACCGGCCTTATCAGTGATCTGCTCTATCTTGTCTTCAAATTGGTCCTCCGCCACACGAAGTTGCCCCGCCAGATCATCCACTGTGAGGTTCTTGATGTCGCAGAACATCTCAATTGAGACTGAAACTTGATTGAACCGGGACGGCCCCACATGCTGGAATTTTTTGACCGAGTGATTTTAGGTTGGCGACGAGGTTGGGTGATCCGCATGCCGAAGTCTTCGACGCTCTTTGCCACCTTGAATTCAATGTTCTCGAACTCCTTCAGGAGTTTCTGACGTTTACTTCCTTCACGCAATCAGCACCAATCCTCATGTGGTTTGTACTGCCTCCCAAGCCTCCTTTATGGTCTTTTTGGTGCCCAGCGTTCCCCACATCTCCTTCGGCACCGATCTCATCATCGCTCTCATGGTTTGACGGTTGATTGAGCACCTAACCGAAGTTCCTGGATCGATCACATCCGAGATCTCCATCGCCTCATAGTCTATTTGCATCAACATCACCAACTCTGCATAGTTTGTGCGAGTCAGCATCGGCCATATGCTACGGAACTCTCCTTGACGCCTTGCGATGCCGTGCTAGTGCCTGGCCTGTTGTCGCCCATCTTCTTCGTCTCCGCTCGCCGCCACCTCTTTGGCCAATGGGGATGAGAGCACCCTGTGTCCTCCACGGCTCTCCTCTGTCACTGGCTGCAACCACGACCGGATCTAATACCAGTTGTTGAAACCAAGACCGAGCTCAGCTCCTGGATTAATGACGGCACACACGAGATCAGCGGTGATCGCTACGACTAAAACCCTGGAGAAACACATGCGCGAACAGGAGAAGAAGAACACAATGGCGCTGCCAATTACCACAGCTTTTCTACATTTTTTTCATTGCTTTAGATAGATGGATACATGGGATTGGAGCCCGAACACCCCGCCTGGCTCCATGACATCCCTTTCTTTAGGATCGCCATGGGACACTCAGTGCGTGACGTCGTGGCAGGACAGACACATGACGATCATGGCGTGGCCAGGGCACATCACCAACCATCCGTAATTCTACATTAAATCAACTAACTGCGACTCTACACAATGTTCAACGGGATTACAACTTGCTACATGACTCAAACTAACAGCTAACATAGCTAACAAGCAATGAGCGAGTGAGGCGGTAGTCGCGTCGTGCAGCTCCACTGAATGCTAGCCACGGAAGGATCCTCACCCGAGCAAGTCTTCCATGTACACTCTCATCGCCTGCAACACCGACATGTGTAGGAAGCTCGCCGGAGACCACTACCAGACATGAGGATGCAAGAAGAGTCTATTAAAGAGGCCTTGAGTGTGGGTCCAAGACAGTTGAATCTAACCAACTTCACTTTGGTGCGGACCAAAGACGGTTGAACCACCTAGGATTCATGGCCCTCTCTTAAGACGAAGATTAATAATACGGTCTATTGCTGGCTGTATACATACTTATAGACTACCTTTTGGCATGCTCATATAGCAATTGGTTCATCTACGATCCACTTGTTACTCTCACGAAGTTTCTTGGTTCCTATAAACTTACATCTGCTTCTACTCTCTCTACTCTCCTCTCTCTCTCTCCTTCACGTCAACATATGGTGCACCCTATATCTCTTTACTATACTTGCTCTAACATTTCTATATCCTACTTGGCTAGAAATTACTATTTTAATAGCTGTGATGTCTTTCAGCAAATTCTTACATTGCCATAGTGATGGGCCATTTATTTTCATACCTGCTAGCGGCGCAAGTACATGTGCTGTGATGAATTTTGCCCACACATATAATAATCAAACTTCTGATGGCGGCGATTTAGAATTAAAACATGTATGTGTGTCAATTACAAGAAAAAAGATGGGGCGTACGTGGCAAAGCAGCAACACACAAACGACAAATAGGAAATCTCGTCCTACTAAGAGTTTGAGGACTCCTGGATCCTGATAACAAGACATTTCATCTTAGCAGTCTTCGCGCCCTCAAGGCGGATATCTGTGAATCCAAGTTGACACATGCTTATATAATTCATCTATGATAAGTTAGTTCGTCCTCATCCTGTCCTTTGTTCAGAGTGCACATATTTTTCCATGGGTTCTCTTCTGCTTCTGTTCGTTGTCTTGTGTAGCTACTGCTGCTACATCGCTCATGGAGGCAACGAGCATGGGTTTGTAGTGGAGCAACGCAGGTCTTATGAGCCAGAAGCAGTATGCTCTGCATCCAGAGGTACGTGTCTACGTGATCTCAATTTCGGCGGCGTCACTTGTTTGGCGGCCTGCACACATGTGACTAATAAGTTACCATACGCATGATGACTTTCAGTGAATCTGGAGCCGAGCAGCACCACTGTGTCAATGCCACTAGTGCACCGGTACGGCCCGTGCGCGCCGTCACAGTACTCTAACGTGCCGACGCCGTCCTTCTCCGAAACGCTCCGCCATAGCCGCGCCCGCACGAACTACTTCATGAGGCAAGCGTCCAAGGGCATGGGCATGGCGAGTACGCCAGACGATGCCGCTGTGACCTTCCCGACCCGCCTAGGCGGTTTTGTGGACTCGCTGGAGTACGTCGTCACGTTGGGCTTCGGCACGCCATCCGTGCCACTGGTCCTCCTCATGGACACCGGCAGCGATGTCTCGTGGGTGCAGTGCACGCCGTGCAACTCCACCAGGTGCTACCCGCAGAAGGATCCTCTCTTTGATCCGAGCAAGTCCTCCACGTACGCTCCCATCGCCTGTCACACGGACACTTGCAGGAAGCTCGCCGGAAACCACTACCAGAATGGCTGCGCGGGCGGCGGCACCCAGTGTGGATACTCCGTCGAGTACGCAGACGGTTCGCATAGCAGGGGTGTGTACAGCAACGAGACGCTGACGCTCGCTCCGGGGGTCACCGTCAAGGGTTTCCATTTCGGCTGTGGCCACGACCAGCGTGGTCCCAACGACAAGTACGACGGCCTCCTAGGACTCGGAGGCGCGCCAGAGTCGCTCGTCGTGCAGACGTCTTCGGTTTACGGTGGCGCCTTCTCGTACTGCCTCCCGGCGCTAAACAGCGAAGCGGGGTTCCTAGCCCTAGGGGCGCCGCCGAACGCCAACAAGTCGGCCTTCGTGTTCACTCCAATGAGGCACCTGCCGGGGTATGCAACGTTTTACATGGTGACGATGACAGGTATAAGCGTGGGTGGGAAGCCGCTGGACATCCCGCAATCGGCGTTCCGTGGTGGCATGATCATAGACTCCGGCACGATCGGCACGGAGCTCCCGGAAACTGCGTACAACGCGGTGGAGGCAGCGCTCCGGAAGGCCTTGGCGGCGTACCCCATGGTGCCAAGCGAGGACTTTGACACCTGCTACAACTTCACCGGTTACAGCAATGTCACCGTGCCGAGGGTCGCGTTCACGTTCCGTGGCGGCGCCACCATCGACCTCGACGTCCCCAATGGGATTCTGGTGAAGGACTGCCTTGCCTTCCGGGAGTCAGGACCAGACGTCGGCCTCGGCATCATCGGCAACGTTAATCAGCGCACGCTCGAGGTGCTCTACGATGCCGGCCGTGGTATCGTCGGATTCCGAGCCGGTGCATGCTGAAGCAGTATATGTGGTTCGGTGCTAGTACATGGGAACGTACGTCTATGTGCTCATGATGCTTATTGATTTTCTTGTGACGTGCTCTGGTTGCGGGTTCCTGATATTTAGCATCTTCCAAGCCAATAAGACGACCACTTCTTACCAACTCCTTCAGAGATTGGGGCAAGCACAGAATCAGGCACTACTAAATATATTCTGAGAACGACATGCTGTATTTGCTTCTGAACGTTCTCATAATCTAGCAAGAGAATAATCTCACCTTTATGTGATTATGTCAATGTGGGAAACTATATATATGTGTACAGCAGCCTACTATTAAGCTATTGTGGACCATATAGAAAGCTTCCTTTTTAATCTTATGTTCTACCAATATTTTTTCACAGCAGAGAGAATTTCTTGTTTTTGACACTACTGAAATGAACCCTTCCTTGGTCCTGCAAAATGAAAAATTACCTATTTGACACTCTCTATCTTTCATGTCTAACACTACTATAGATATCATTTGTAGGGGCGGCTCAAGACCATTTGTAGGGGCGGTTTGGCCAGTCGCCCCTACCAAACCGTCTTTATAAATCATGCATTTATAGGAGTGGTTCCCAGACCGCCCCTACAAATCGATTTGTAGGGGCAGCTGGTGTTATCAGCCGCCCCTACAAATCGATTTCTAGGGGCGGCTGTAGTACCAGCCGCCTCTATAATACCTATTTGTAGGGGCGGTTCAGTCTAGAACCGCCCCTACAGTACATTTTTCCACAAAAAAAATTCAAATTTACAATTCAATTTCGACCAGAACACTGTTTGTTTCTGCGTATTCCATCAAGCGTTCGCGTTGCCGAACGCTCCGCGACCAGTGTTCGCGTCGCCGAACGCCCCGCGACCAACGTGAGCGAGGAAAGCGAGATAATCCCGCCGAACGCCCCGCGACCAATGTTCCGAACCGTGTTCGCTCAAGAGTATTATATAAACTACAAGGACAAGAGTATTATATAAACTACAATTACAAGTCCAATTCACAAGAATATATACAATCCATCATTAAATAGACATAATTCACAAGGTAAAACCAATGTCAAATTCCATACACATTGTTATCAACGTCCTAGAGCTAGCCTTTCAGTCTCACGAAGGTGTTGGTACTGAGGATTTTTTCCTAAGTCAGACTCTCGATCATGGTAGGTGCCTTTGACGTGTACAATCTGGTCCAATATGAAGTTGCAAAGGTCGCCGACGAGCTCTAAGAGTTGGTCATCCTTGTATGGGTCTCTTTTCATTTCTTTCTCTTCTTTCCACTACAAGAGATCAAGTTTCGGTTTAGTATTTCATACCATGTACGAAGTTTTTATACTACGAGTGAAGAGGTTCAAACTTACCCTTAAGGGGTGTCTTCTATAGGCACCGGTGTTACTCATCATAGAACATATATAGTATCCACAATGTACATTCCTAGGCTTCTGCTTGGGGCACTGTGTGTTTTGCATATAAAAATGTTAAGTAATGCTTTTGACAGCCATGTAATGGAGTACTAAAGAAGTAAGTTACACTTACGGCACATAGTGTTTTTATAGCCAGCTTTTCGTTCCTTGCTGGATCATGCCTTCCATGATGTTTAGTGACATAGAACCTAAATGCCCTATTCGAATTATTTTAGCAAATACAACTTGTTAGTATCCAAAAGTGAACGTTACAAGTATGTATACAAACATATAAACTAATGAGGATTGTCGATATGTATACGTCTTGAGAATCGATATGAAGTCTTTGTATGTCACCGGGTCCCTATCTATTGAATCAAAGACCTATGCCATGCTCCTCCCGACATCGACGCCTATACAAATCTAGTGGTTGCTGCATGAATTTAATCATAAAACTAGATAAGCTCTTTTGCATTGAATAAAATATATCAAACAAAGCTTTAAGTATAGAGTTGAACTTACTCGAAGTTGTATGGTAGCCATATAGTAGAGTGCTGTTGGAGAATTTTGAAAGTCAGGGCAATGTATGCCGCAACTTTAAGGGACTCTTCCCTTAGTTTCGCCGTACGGATATGCTCTTTCTTCCGAAGAGTCTTTCTAGCAGCTAGCTCTTTGGCATCCAGTAGCCACTGTTTAGGGTAATTAAAATTTGTTTATGCTATAGCTTGAGGGTCTATATACCCGGTTTTCACACTTGGCATTTGTTTAACAATGTGCACTTGTATTCTACAAATCACGGCGTGGGTTAGTTGCAACAAAATTCAAAGATTACATTCATATCATATCGGGAGGACAAGGACTTACAGGCACCACGTGCGAATTAGATTCATCTCCATTGCTCTGAGGTGAAAGCATGTATGCATGTCATTGAAGTCAAAGACAATTTTCCCGGCTGGGCTTCCAAATGTGCCGGTGGGGAAGCATGCTTGTATGAGGTCTATGCTCGTTGGGAGAACATGCAAGTACCAATCATGGAACCTTCTCATTCCAAGTGGTAGGCGCTAGATGTCCCGGTTTGGTAGGAAGGGCTTGCCTCTTTCATATGTTTTCGGACAATCCTTTGACCATTTGATGGCATCAACTTTTGGATACTGTTTTGCTATTTGGTGGAGTTTGCTAGTGACGGCCTCCTCAGAACCCCGTGATGTGACTTTTTTAACTTGGTTCTCAGGCTTTGAACTGGTCATGGGAATACCACTTGGACACCGACGAGACGTCTTTCATCGGAACATAAATTGGTCTTATGGTGATTGGATGCTTCTTTCGAAGTTCCCATTCAGGCACGTCATCATCTTCTTGTGCGTCACCTTCTTCAGGAGGCACTCGTTGTTCATGTATCGGCTGTGCTTGTTGAGAAGACTGTGGCATCTCATCATGCAGTTGCTCGGTATGAGCTGGAGAAGGCACATGCTCGCTAGGAGGCGGGGAAGAATGTGGCATCTCAGGAATGTGGTGGTCACGAGACGATGAAAATATCTCCCCAACCTCAACAACTCGCTCCAAATTTGGGAGAGGGAGAGGCGGCGAAGAAGCAGTCAATATAATGTCCCATTTGTGCCAGAAGATGAACTGCCCCATTACGTCTCCGAGTAACACCAGCCCCTCAGGAGTTGTGTAGTCTATCCTCCACTGCATGAACTCGGGCTTCACGGTATGCACCTCAACCCTAGTGTAGTCCGATGGTATCTTATTATTGTGGTGTAAGCCACCGGGAGGATGTGTCACACCCGTTGCCACCTCCATCATAATGTTTTGCCGGCCACTGAGAAACACCAAAGTGCAACTAGTTGGTTCCCGTATGCGATCGACGGGGGTTGTGGCTACAGTGGAACCTTGGCTGCTAGGAACTTTCGGAGGACTGCCAACTAATGCCAGTTCTTCCTGCGGCGTCATTAATGTCCATGGCTCTGGAGACAGTCCTTGCTCCTCCAACACCTTTGCAACTAGAGACTTTACTTGGAGCTTAAGATTAGTCTTCCGGTCTCTGCCATGTTTCTTGTACATGTGCCTGTCCTCTTCGAATCCTTACTTCCTGGTCATCCTTTTCCCTAGCCCCCTGGTGCGGCCTGTGTGCTCCTTGTTTCCCAAGCCAAAGCTAAGCTCGTCCCTCTCTCTGGAAGGATTGAATGAGTCATTCTCCTTGTCTTCAGCATATTTTAGTATCCTTGATACTGTCTCTTGGGTCTCCGACTTATCAAACTTAAGATTACTGCCGGATGATTTTGTACTCCTCGCATATATCTAATTCCTTGAGCGTACCTTCAAATTTGTCACATCGATATTCCTAGCAGCTGCGGCCTCTTCGTCCATCTTCCTAAACTGCTCTTCCTTGGCATAGTAGCCACCGGGGCCTAGATGATGGTGGTGTTTGTTCCTCTTTGCCAGCTCGGTGTTATGGGCACTGAGCTCCAATGCCTCCGGTGAAGTCTTCTGAGCCACGAGCTCCTCTCATTGACTAGGAGTTATTTTGCCAAACTCGTTGAAGGGAGTTAACCCCTTTTGGATATACTTCTTGTTGAGCTCCGACCTCCAACGTCGGAATGACTCTCCCATCATCCTGAAAGCATTTTTTTACCAGTTCGTGCTTACCCTTCGGAAATCTAAAATTGAGCTTCAGCTGCCTATCCCATAGTTCATCCTTTTTCTTCTCTGGTACCTCTTTCCAGTTAGGGATTGCTGGGTTCAATTTATCTCTTACTAGGGCCCCGATTGCATTACGGAATCATCCTCTTAATTCCTTCGGCTCAAGGATCTCCCCTGCTGGCCCGACCTCCGTTATCACATAGCATGCCTTATCTGGATATAAATTTGCTTTTCTATCCCCTCATTTCCTCTTAGGCTTGGTAGTCATGGTTGTATCTTGAGGTTATGGAGCAGAGGCCTCAATGTCCGTCTCTATGGCTGTTGCCTCTGCTCTCCTTTCCTCTACTCCGTCTTGTCCAGTGAGATGTCGCGGACGTTGATGTCATCTTTTCTGAGTTTCAGGAGGGACCTGTATATACGACAAGTCAAAGTGTTAGCAGAGGTAACACAGCCAAAGTTTTAGCAAAATTTATAAGCTAAGGCTTTATCCCTACCTCCTCGTTCGGGTCAAAATCCTTGTCCAAATCTTCCTCCGTTGGCCTCCTTCTGGCTTCACGTGAGAAAGGATCCTTGGGACTTACATATCCCTCTTCTGAGTCATCATCATCATCATCCTCTTCTTTTTCGCCTTTAGCAGCCTCTCCTTCTCTTTCTTCTGCTCCCCCTTCCTCCTCGTCACACTGCTCCTGAGTAAGCATCACTTTTAGATCCTTTTCTAACTCGTTATTGAACTGCTCCTGAGTAAGCTGGTCATCTAGTGCTTGCTCCTCATATGTTGGCTGCTCATCATGCTCAGGGCATCGGGCTACACTATCTGGTGTCCACGACATTATTTCGCGCTTTGTTCTAATAGATGCAAGAAAGTGTGCTTTAGGTACGCGAGAAGGTATAAGAAATCAAAAAGGTCTATAAACCAAACTAGTCCTATAAAACAACAATATATCA